TTTTCACTTTTATAACTGTATCTTTTGAAGAGCAGTAGTTTTTAATTTTGATTGTCAGTTTATTGATTGTTTTCTTTTATAGTTTTCTTTTTGTGTTTTACCAAGAAATGTTTGCCAGTTTATTCTGTGTTTAGATTTGTGATCCATTCTGAGTTAAATTTTCTCTATGTTTGCATGGTAAGGGTCAAGGTTTATTTTTTTTCAGCATGTGGCTCTTCAGTTGTTTATTCTAATACCATTTGCTCAAAAAATTTCTTTTTCCCATTTTGGCAACTTTTGGAAGGCGGCTATGCTCACCAGTATACCACCAGCGCCACACTGTCTAAAAAAATGTGTGGGTCATTTTTGGGCTCTTTTTTGTTTCACTGATCTTTTTGCTTATCTTTATTCTAATAGCACAATAGCCTTGATTACTGCAGCTTTCATAGTAAGCCTTGAAGTCAGGTAGTGTAGCTATTCCAGCTTTGTTCCTTTTTTTCAAAATTGGCTTGGCTATTCTAGGTCTTTTACATTTTCACATAAATTTTTGAATCAGATTTCCAGCTTCTACAGAAAATCTTACTGGGATTTAGAGTGGGATTGCATTGAAGGTATAGATCAATTTGGTGAGAATTGACATCATACTAATATTGAGTCTTCGAATCCATGAACACAGTATATCTCTCCATTTATTTAAGTTTTCTTTAATTTCTCTTGGTAATGTTTTGTAGTCTTCACTGTACAAGTCTTACATATCTTTTGTCAACTGTGTCCCTAAGCATTTCCTATTTTATTTTTAAGATTTTATTTATTTATTTGACAGAGAGACAGACAAGAGAGCACAAGCAAGGGGAGCAGCAGAGGGAGAGGGAGAAGCAGCAGGCTTTCTGCTGACCAAGGAGGCTGATGTGGGGCTTGATCCCAGGATCCTGGGATCATGACCCTCATGAGCCCAAGGCAGATGCTTAACCGCTGAGCCATCCAGGCGCCCCAGCATTTCCTATTTTTTGATGCTACTGTAAAGTTCGGTTTCTAATTAGTTGTTGCTGGTATATAGAAATAGCATTGAATTATGTATATTGACTTTGTTCCTGTGGCCCTGCTAAGTACACTTATTAGTTCTAGTAGACTTTTCTGTAAATTCCATAGTATTATCTATATAGCCAATCATATCACCTATGGATAAAGATAGTTTTATATTCTTCCTTTCTAATATTTTCCCCTTTTTTCATTTTTCTTGCTTGATTGCATTGCTAGGATTTCTAGTACAGTGTTGAATAGAAGTGATGAGAGCAGACAGTCTTGCCTTGTTCTTGATCATTGCCATTAAGCCTATCACCACAAAAAAAAAAAAAGAAAAGAAGGCTTTCACCACTGAATATGTTAGCTGTAGGTTTTTCATATGTGCCTTTTATTAGTTTGAGGAAGTCCCCTTCTATTCCTGGGTTCCTGAGAATTTTTATCAGGAATGGATGTTGGATTTGGTCAAATGCTTTTTTGTATAGTTTTTCTGTTTTAGCTTGTTAACATGGTAAATTATAGTCATTGATTTTTGAATGTTAAATCAATCTTGCAATCCCAGAATAAGTCCTAATTAGTTATGATATATTGTCCTTTTTATATGTTGTTATTACATATCATTGTTATGTATTAAGAATTTTTGCATCGATGTTCATGAGGGATGGTTCCCTTGTTTCTATATCCTCACCAACACTTGTTCTTGTCTTTTTGATACTAGCCATTCTGACTTGGGTGAGGTGATAGCTCATTATGGTTTTTTTTTTTTTCTTTTAAAGATTTTTATTTATATGACAGAGAGAGACACAGCAAGAGAGGGAACACAAGCAGGGGGAGAGGGAGAGGGAGAAGCAGACTCCCCACTGAGCAGGGAGCCCGATGCGGGGCTCAATCCCAGGACCCTGGGATCATGACCTGAGCCGAAGGCAGACGCTTAAGGACTGAGCCACCCAGGCGCCCCAGCTCATTATGGTTTTGATTTGCATTTCCCTGATGATGAGTGTTGTTGAGCATCTTTTCATGTGTTTGTTGGCCATCTGTATATTTTCTTTGAAAAAATGTCTACGCAAGTCCTCTGCCAATTTTTAAACCAGATTGTTTGTTTTGTGTATGAGTTCTTTTTTTAAGATTTTATTTATTTATTTGAGAGAGAGTGAGAGCAAGAGCAAGAGAGGTCACAGAGGGAGAGAGAAAGGGAGAAGCAGACTCCCCACTGAGTGAGGAGCCTGATGCAGGGCTTGATCCCAGAACCCCGAGATTATGACCTGAGCCAAAGGCAGACGCTTAACCATCTAAGCCACCCAGGTGCCCTGTGTATGAATTCTTAATGTATTTTAGGTATTAACCTCTTATCAGATATATCATTTGCAAATATCTTCTCCCATTCAGTATGTTACCTTTTCATTTTATTTATGGTTTCCTTCACCGTGCAAAACTTTTAAATTTGATGTAGTCACAATTGTTTATTTTTCCTTTATTTCCCTTGCCTGGGGAGATAGATTCAGAAAAATACTAAGGCCAACGTCCAAGAGTTTACTGCCTGTGTATTCTTTTTAGGATATTTATGGTTTCGGATGTCACATGTAGGTCTTTAATCTATTTTGAGTTTATTTTTGTGTATGATATAAGAAAATGGTCCAGTTTCATTCTTTTGCGTGTATCAGTCCAGTTTTCCCAACAGGATGTATTGAAGAGACTGTGTTTTCTCTGCTGTATATTCTTGCCTCCATTATTGTAGATTAGCTGAATATGAGTTTGTTTCTGGGCTCTTTATTCTGTTCCATTGTTCTCTGTGTATGTTTTTGTGCTAGTACCATATTGTTTGATTACTATAGCTTTGCAGTAGAGTTTAAATCTGGGATTGTGATGCCTCCAGTTTTGTTTTTTTTCAAGATTGCTTTGAATCTTTGTGGCCTTTGTAGTTCCATACGAATTTTAGGATTATTTGTTCTAATTCTGTGATAAATACTGTTAATTAGCTTTATGAATTTTGACAGACACATATAGTTGGATCTCCATACCACAATCTAGATGCATGACAGTTCCAATAACCCTTAAAATACCCTTATTTTACTCCGTTGTTAGTACCTTCTACCCCCAACCGCTAGAAATTTCTGATTTATTCTTCATCCCTATAGTTTTATCTTTTCCTGAATGTCATATAAATGGAATCATATAGTTTGTAGCCTTTTGAATATGACTTATTTTACTTAGCTAAATCCATTGAGATTCATCTATGTTGTTGTATGTATTAATAGTTGTTCCTTTTTATTGCTGAGTAGTATTCTATTGCATGGATGTACCATAGTTTATTTCTTCAAGGACGTTTGGATTGTTTCCAGTTTTTGGCATTTAGGAACGGAATTGCTATAAATGTTTGCATACAGATTTTGGTGTAAGTCTAAGTTTTCTTTTTTCTTGGGCAAGTACCTCGAGTGGGATTGCTAAGTTTTATGTAAGTATAGCTTTAAACTTTATAGGATATGGGAGGTTTTTGATAGATTCTATTTCTTTAATTCTGTTTAGGTTATTGATTTCTTATTGAGTGAGCTTTGGTAGTTTTTGTCTTTCAAAGAATTAACCCATCTTGTCTGTTAAATTTATAGGCATAAAATTATTCCCCAGTTCCCCTGGTTATTCTTTTTAATATTTGTAGAATCTGTGGTGGTGTCATCTCTCTCCTTCTTGGTATTTGAAGTTTTTTGTTTTTTTTTTTTTTTTTTTTTTAGAGCTGGGGGTAGGGACAGAGGGAGAGGGAGAGAGAGAATCTCAAGCAGGCTCCAAACCCAGCGTGGAGCCCAATGTGAGGCTTGATCTCACAACCCTGAGACCTTGACCTAGGCCAAAATCAAGAGTTGGATGCTTAACTGACTGAGCCACCTAGTTGCCCCTGAGTTCGTGTTTTAAAATTTTTTCTTTGGCAGGAGGTTTATCAACTTTATAGATCTTCTGAAAGAACTGGCTTATGTTTTTGTTGAGTTTTGGTTACTAATATTCTGTTTTCTGTTTAGCTGACTTCCGATCATCTTTATTATTTCCTCTCTTCTGCTTAATTTGGATTTACTACTTTGGGTTTAACATACTACAGAAAACAATATTTTCTCTCTGGATGTAAATTGTCATATTTTTAAATCTTGTAGTACTCAATTCAGGTGTGGTGTGTGTTGTGTGGGTGTGTGTGGTGTTGGTGTTTAGTATTTAGGCAAGAACATGAGACTTTGCTAGTAGCAAGATTTCAGAGAGAGTGAAATTGGTACTGTTTTTAATGAGAAGGGTACAGGATTTTTGTTTTGTTTTGTTTAGAATGTTGATTTTTGTGCCTCTTCATCTCTGAATGTAGAGTATCTGTAAATTATTAAAATACTCAGAATTTCCATGACAAGCCCAGTGAAATTTCCCACACATAGAGCTACTAAAGTTTAATATGTGGCATTATTTAAGTGGGGCAAAATATTGTCACCAGGAATAAAATTTTATTCTTGTTTCTAATCTTAGCAGTCATTGAACCTAAAGGACTATATAATGTTTACTCAAATTAAGAGCGTAAAACATTTAAATCCCTAGGTCTTCCCAAATGAGTAACCTCTAACTAAGATATAAGGCAGTTTTGGAGTTGTTTTTACTTCAAATGTTTTGATACGTGAAAGTAAGAAATTCCTGTAGTAAATGAAGTGGAATTTGTGTTACTCTTTCAGGTTGTTTTTCAAAGCTTGAATTAAAATCAAGGAAATAAATTGCTTTATTGTTTTAACATTCTATTTAAATAGTAATGCAAATTTGATCTTCCCTGTAATTAGAAATAATTTTATTTTTTAGATGAAATTCACTTGAAAATCAGTTTCAGTTTCTTTTTTAAATGCTTATTTTTTATGTAGTCTTTAATAAGAAATATAGGTGTTATTAGAATTGGAGTACTGGTGGAAGGATGTGTTATTTATCAACCTACATGAAAATTATTTTTTATTTACTTTTCTAATTGTTTAATGTTACATTTTATCTTTTAGATCCTATTTGACCAAACTCAGAGATCAATTAAAGCACAGCTTCAGAACTTTGTTAAAGAGTAAGTCAATTGCAGTGAAGAGAAAAGAAAAGCAACAAGTTCATGATCACATCTGGGAGTTGGTTATCTTTTGAGAGGAATTCTTATGGACTGTGATTTATTGAAAATATTGGAGTTTTTGTTTTTTTGCTTTGTGAAGTGTATATTGCATTTCCTCTTGAATTATTCCATAAGGGAATCAGACTTCATGTCTTTCAGTGAATCCTTTATACTATGAAATTTGTATTCAGGATATATAACTAGGATTGTTATAGATTAAAAAATAAAATAATTTAATGACCTTTCAAAATCAAAGCAGATCCCAAAAGTGGTTGCAATACTATTAGTTATTATAGTGGAGACTAAGTTTTCCATAGTCTCAATATGGTTTTTTCTTTGAAGAGAATATAATGGAATATATGAGAATGAATCATAAAAGTGCATGTTTTTTGCTACATGTGATCCTTTTGTGTCACATTCATCCCATTTTATATGTGAAATAAAATTGAACTAGAAATAAAAACATCTGAACTTTCCAGGTAGGAACATTTTCCTTTCTCACATTAATAATTCAGTTTTTCCCTTTTAATTCCTGCCTGAGAATATATAAAATTACAGATAAAGTTGGTTATGATACAGTATTCAGGATAAATTATAGAAGTAGCACATCTCGTGAACATAGTGCACTGCCGTTTAGTAGGTTAGAATTTATTGTCCTGCTAGTGATATCTCACAGATTCTTTCCAAATAATAGACTAACGTTCAGAATGTCCTTATAGAATGTATGCATGAAAATTTATGGCTTCTTACAAAGCCTTTAAAGTCTTTCTCAGGTCTACTTTATTATTATTTTAAAATCATTTGTCTTCAAGTCATTTTGCCTGGTTCTCTGGTAGAAAAAAGTACTTATCTAAGATCATTAATGAATCAAGGGTTTCAGAATACTGAAATGGAAACCATTACCCTTTACGGGTGTGCAGTTCTTTTACCAAAGATTGTATGTATATGTGTTTTAAGAATATATTCATGCCCTTTGGCCCAGGAATTTCCCTCAACAAGAAACGAGTGATATTTCTTAAAGTGTGGTTTGTAGATCACCCACAGTAGGATTTATGGAAGTTTTCCTGTTTTTATTTTTTTAGAGATCTTAGAAAATTCAAAGATGCCAAGAAGCAATTTGAAAAAGTCAGTGAAGAAAAAGAAAATGCATTAGTAAAAAATGCCCAAGTACAAAGAAACAAACAGCATGAAGTTGAAGAAGCCACAAACATTCTGACAGCAACAAGAAAATGTTTTCGACACATAGCCCTCGACTATGTACTTCAGGTATATTTATTAATATGTTTTCAAAAAATGCTTGCTAAACATGTCATTACTTTTGAGTGATTACACTGAGAAGAACTAATACTGTTTCTTTGAGTCTAAAATTAAGCCATGATCTTTTGTGAAGACTTTTCACTTGTCTGTATATCTGTGTATGCAAATAAATATGTGTGTGTACATGTGTATACCTTTGGTTCTGATTTCTTCCCCTTTTCACTTAACATGATACTTTCTCCCATTTTTAAATGTTGTAAAAAGCATTTTAATCGCTTTATTTTATTCTATGGAGTTGCTAGGTTAATTTAATTAATACTGCTTATCAGACATATTGCCAGTTTTTACTGGCAATAGTGAAAATATAGTTTTCAATAATTGTAAATGATAATAACATCTTTGTATATAAATCTTTTGCCACATTTCTATTTCTTTAGAGTAGATTCTTAGAGGTATTAAGGCATACCATATTGACAAATGTAAAATATTTCTAGAAGTGTTGTTCTCATAATTGCATTACATGCTAATTTTTAAAACTAGAGATCAGTATTTGGTGAGTTGCCTGGTGATCTTCTGGTCCTATGTAAAATTGAAATCAGTTTGAATGTGATAGGTCTCCAAAGGGATTCGAGAGACATGAAAAGTGAAGGCAAAGTGTACATTATTTCACATGTACTTGATGTGTTCCTATATATCATGAGTTGAAAGCTTTAAAGCTCAGGAAATTAGTTTGTCTGAATCTCCTTTTACAAAACAGCAGTGGAGTCTCCAGAGATTGTTGACTAGCAATCACAGATTATTTCTTTAAAAAAATACGTAACCATATACAAATTAGTGATTAAAAACTACTTAGAAAACTTAGCAAAATAGTAGAAAATGATTAAGTTTTTTTTAAGTTTCTATTCAGTAAGTGGGAAGTTAAAGTTTTCAATTAGCAATAATCGTGCCTCGGATAAACCTCAATGAAGTGCATTTCATTTATTAACGATAATCTTCTAGAATGGAATGCTCTGTATTTCCTTTCTCCCATTAGCTCTCTCCCATTTACTCCACTTTTTGCGGTAGGATGAGTACTGTCTTCCTATCCCATTCCACTGACATAGCTCATGCTAAGGTCTTACTCATTAGATACAGTTTCTTAACCAACTTGACTATTGTGTTTCACTGAAATGGTGGACCACACTCTCTTTCTTGAAATATACTTTTGTCTTGATTTATCTCAAACCATTTTTAGATTGCAATAACTTCTATTTAGCTTCTATTTCTTAACTTCTATTAACTTGTATTTCTTTTCAGTGTCCATGTTGGGCTTCTCTCCTTTGTCCATCTTTTCAACCTCTTTTTCAGGGTTCCCTCTTGGTCCTATTCTTTTCTGACCTTTTGATTTCCCTGAAAGTCTCATGCCTCTTGCTTGAATTTACCATCATGTATAGATGACAAAATCTATTTTTCTCAGACATCCCTCTTTCTTTTTGATCCACAACTGAAAACTGTCTTCTTCCAAATGGCTTCTTTTTACCCTTACCTAACTGAATGCCAACGCCCTCTCACTCAATCCTAGAAAGTCACATGGAGAATTATATCAGATATTCTCATTCTCAGCTGCTATATCTAACAATCAAAACTGCCTTAAAAAGTTCTGTGTATTGGGGCACCTGGGTGGCTCAGTTGGTTGAGCATCTGACTCTTGATTTGGGCTGAGGTCATGATCTCAGGGTGGTGAGATCAAGCCCTGAGTCAGGCCCCGCACTGGGTGTGGTGCTTGCTTGGGATTCTCTCTCTTCCTCTCCCTCTGTGACCCACTCCCCTACCCCCCGCTGGTGCACACTCACTCTTAAAAAAAAAGAAAAAAGTTCTGTGTACCTCTTAAGTCTGCTCTTTCTTACTCTTGCTGCAGCCCTAACACCAGTCTTTATTGTTTCTTATCTAGAGTATTAAGATGTTCTCAAAAAATTGGTCTTCTTGCATTGCGTTTACCTGTCCTGTTACCACTTTGTTCTCTGTTCTGGGGTCAGTTATACAAGTTTCTCCAGGCAAAGTGAATCATCCTTGCCTCTGCTTCTTCTGTGCTGTCATAATATTGTCATACACATTGCTGTTAGAGCACTTAAACACATTTATTATAATTATTTATATCTCTTTTTTACTCCTAGGTTATATTCTTTCCTCTAGTGGTTGGAAAATAAATTATCCATTTCATTTAGTGCTCATCCAGTAGTTTTAAGTTAGGATCCACATGTCCGCTGTAACTATTACCTTATTTGATTTTTCTGATGAGAACTCTTGTGTCATTTTATTATATGGCTAAAGTGGCTATTTTAGGGTGTAGTAAGTAACAAATATCCAAGTTTATAAAGTTTGTCATGCTTTAGCTTCTGTAAATACTTAAATTTACTTTTTTTTTCCAAGTACATGCTATTTTTCATTGCCCAACATAAAAAAATACATAAAATGGAAGCACTTTTGGCATTTTTCAAAGTCTGAATAATAGGTTATTTGCAGCCTCTGCTTTTACTTAGCGCATTTGAAAGTTAATATTTTAGTTCTCAAAACTGAATAGGCCATGGACGCCTCGGTGGCTCAGTCGGTTAAGCGGCTGCCTTTGGCTCAGGTCATGATCCCAGAGTCCTGGGATCGAGTCCCGCATCGGGCTCCCTGCTCTGTGGGGAGCCTGCTTCTCCCTCTACCTCTGCCTGCTTCTCTGCCTACTTGTGCTCTCTCTCTATCTTTCTGTCAAATAAATAAATAAAATCTTTAAAAAAAAACAAAAACAAAAAACAAAACAAAACTGAATAGGCCTTGAAACAGACATACAAAGGAAATTAGTGCTCATTTAAGCATAGTTATTTGGACTTTTCTTGGTGTGTTTTTAGTTTTCTGATCAGTGCTTTAAAATTATCTTATAAAACAGGCAGAATATTCAGTGGGAAGAACATATCAAAAAGGAAGATATTCTGTAATCTTTTAACAATATTAGCAAAAAGTGAATGATTCTTTTTTTGTATAAACATTAATTTCATTAAGCTGATATGTAATAGATAAAAAAAATATTTGTTAAGAATTTCTAGAGTTGGGAGAGATACCATAAAGGCAACTTTCATAATTTACTGATCTTTCAGTAAGTTTAGTTTAATTAAAATATTATTTGAGGTCTATTAATTTAGTTAACAAATATTTATTGAGTCCTCACTATGTACCACTTGGGGAATGCAGCTGGGAATAAGGCAAGACCTTGATCTTATGGAGCTCACACTTTAACCGGGGAAAAGACATAAGTAAATAAGAAAATATAAGTTAGTTATGAATGCTATCAAGGAAATAAATAGGGTTGTTGTACTAGAGAGTACATAGGGCCTACTTAGACCTTTTTGAGGAGATAGTATTTTAGCTGGGACCTGATTGGAACAGGTAGCCTTATGCCTATCTGGGGAGACAGTTACGACATGAAGACAGAACAACTAGTTTGAAAGTGTTGAGGTGGGAGTAGTTTTGGATTGTGGTTGGAGCACAGAAAGGGGAAAGTAATAGAAAACTAGGTTAGAAAGGTGATATCACAGAGGGCCACGAAGGCTACAGGAGGAAGTTGGAAGGTTTTAAGTTGGACATAGTGTAATCTTATTTATATTTTGAAAAGATCACTCTGTTTGCTGTGTGGAGAATGGATTGTAGAGAGTCAAGAGTATAGAGAGACTAGTTCATACGCTATTGCAACAGTCTAGAAAAGATAAGATGGTGTTTGGTAGTAGTGGCAAAAATTGATGAGAATTTGCATTAAGGATATATGTTGAAGGGTCTAGATGAGCAATTAGATAAGGAGGATGGGGAAAAGATGGAATTCTAAGAAATTGATATGCCTATCAAAGTGATAGTTTTATCACTACAGTATTTGTGACTTATGCATGGCCAGTTTTTCTTTGAGTTGAAAATAGATGAGAGTTTCATTGGTATGTTTGTCTTAACTGTTTTTGCAAAACGTGGGTCAAAGGGTGAAAAACTTGAACTTTGATTTTATTTACTTTTCTGAAAAAGTATCAAACTATCAGAAAAAGCAAATTTTACAATATTGCATTGTAGATTAGTTTTTAAAATAAATGCATAGGTAATTAACCAAGTGTATTTTCCCTCAGATTAATGTCCTTCAATCAAAAAGGAGATCAGAAATCCTAAAATCAGTAAGATATTTATTGAAATGATGTTTTCAACATTTTAATATGATCTAAGTGTACATATATAAGCGTTTAAAGCAGCATCATATGTGTGTATATTTATGTGTGTGTATATATATATGTAAATATATTTATTCCAGGTTCAGAATTAATCTTACAGATCTTTTCATACTTCTCCTGTGTCACTTAACCACTTTTTTGTCTCCTTCATGTTATAGTTATTTATGTGTATCTCCTCTATTAACACACTGTGAGCTCCTTAATAGTGACATTTAAATATTTGAGATTGAGGGCATGCATAAATGGTATCATTTAGAGAATTTTTCCTCCCGGGTTATTGATGATTTTATCAGCCTTTTGGTTTGTTCTTTAAAGTGCTGTTTGAAAATAAATGGGGTGAAATTTGAGGATAATGTTTTTCCCTGAGCCTCTATGCCCATTTTTTTATTTGACCATTTTTTAAAATCTTAAAGCTAACAAAAGAAGTGCACATGGGATGGTATTGGTATGACATTGCACTCTTTCACATTTTGAGAACCTTAGAAATAATTTTTCCGCTCTGTTCACTGAAGTATTTTGTTTTTTTCCCTGAAAGGGTATGCATAAATTGCTTTTGATTCTTGTCCCCACCTAGCTTTTCCCTAAATTCTATATTTATGTTATTTCTTATCAGGTAAGTACATTGTACTTGCTCTTTACCTCTACTTCCTTTTCCAGATTGAGAGTATTATGTGTTAATTGTAGAAAATTGGAAAGTAAAATGTATGAAGAAAAATTAAAACACTTACAAATCTTACTACCAAGGGAGAACTAATGTTAATATCTTGGCATATATCTTCATCTTTTTTCCTCTCTTTCTGTGGACATGTATGTATATGAATGTGTATGTGTGTTTTAAAATTGCATGTAATTTTTTTAAACAAAATAGGAGTCATTGTTACATATGTTTTATAACTTTGTTCTTTTGATAGTAACTACAAAATCATCACGTTATTAAATATTTTTTATTTAACAATGGCTTTCCTGGCCATACAGAATTCTACCATGTGAATCTACTAGCGGTAGGCAACCTTTTTTTGTGAAGGGCCAGGTAGTGAATACGTTAGGTTTTGTGGGCCTTGTGGTCTGTGTTGTAATTACTTAACTGTGATATTGTAATGAGAAAGCAGCTATAGACAATATGTAAATGAATAGCATGATTGTGTGTTAATAAGAATTTTTCTTATGGACATGGAAATTTGAATTTCATATAGTTTTCCCGTGTCATGAATTTCATGTCTTCTTTTCATTGTCTTTCAAACATTTAAAAATGTAAAAACCACTGTTAGCTCATAAGCCATCCAAAAATAGATGATAGGGCTAGATATAGTTTGCAGGTCAGTTGACTATGCCATAAATTAGTTTTATCCTTTAATGGATTTTTAAGTAATTTCCATGTTTTTTGACTTTAAAGAATAGCATTATAGTGATCATTCTAATAAATAATATGATTATTTCCTTAGGATAGATTAAGACGAGATTATTTAGTCAAAGGGTTTAAGCATTTATTAAAACTTTTAAAAAATAATGGTAAATTTTAAGAGTTATACATCATTTCCACTAGTAGTATGTGAAAGTGAACTGTATTACCAACACTGGGTATTAATTTCTCCTACTCTACATATAATTTGGTAGATAGAAAATGTCATGTCATTGTTCAGTTTTGCATTTCTTTAATACAAATGAGTTTGTATTAAATATGTATGAGTTTGAAATTTTTTCTGTGTATTTTTTGGCCTCTGTGTTCCCTGTTTTTCTGTTAAGTATTCATCTTTTTCATACTGATTTGTAACATCTTTTATATTTTAAGACTATTAACCCTTTGTCATATGTGTTTTCCTAGTTTATCATTTATCTTTTAATATGTTTATTATATGTTTTGATGTGCAGGCATGTTTTACATTTTTATGTAGTTGTAGCTGTTAATCTTTCACCCTCTTTTTTTATATAATTGTTTATTACACTAATAAAGTTGCATAACTACTGTTAATCTAATTCCAGAATAATCTTTTATTGAGCTTTGTCCTTTTGTGTTTGTGTTTTAATTGGTTTTTCTCTTGAAAAAATCTTCTTTTGAAGCATTCTTGAATATTAAGGACCTATTTTAAATTTCAGAAAATAAACAGATGTCTCGTCTTGCTAAAAATAAACATGGATGTTTGGAGGATTCTTTCACTATTATGATTGAATTAAATTTCTTCCCAAATAAAAATGACAAATAAAAACAAGGGTGATTTTTCTCTCATGAATAGGTAAAATGTAGGAAAACCTGGAAAAAATCTTAACCTATTAGCAACATTTTTGGATATTGGGAATGAATATACAGAAACCTCCATATTTGGCAAAGTCTATTGACTCATTTTATTTCAGTATCTTGAGAAAGAAAATAAGCATTCCCCTACTTTGGGCTGTGTTTAGTGATCCTAGTCAGTTATAAAGTGTGATTGTTTTATTTTGAGAGCTTCATATTTCCTCTTCTAATTTTCTAATGTTTTATTTGCAATTTAAAGTTTTGCCAGTGAGTTTGGTTGAAAGGCATATAATATGGTTTTTATAATGTACCTGGGAAGATGGTGAAGGTATTGAAAACTTGATTCTTTCAATTATTACCATGTGAATTTTGATTATCTGGATATAATAATCTGTTAAACAACTAAAATTTGGGGTGTTTTTAAAATTTTAAACCACTTAGAGATTTCTTTTAAACATAATTTATTCTCACTTCACAAAAATTTCTGAAATACTCTTTTAAGAAAAATGACTCAGTTCTAATTTTAAATTTGATATTTTGGGCTCTTATGGAATAATTTTTAAACATTAGATAAGATTAAGATTTTTAAAAATTTCAGGATATTTAAGAATGATTTTAAAATGCTAAACTTTTTTTCTCTTATTAGATGTTATCTTTTATGTATGCCCATTTGGCCTTCTTCCATCAAGGGTATGATTTATTTAGTGAACTTGGGCCCTACATGAAGGATCTTGGTGCACAGGTAATATTGTACTGTATTGCTTGATTCTGTGTTATGCATTGATATCTGTATTTTTTTCATTGAGATGTGATTGACATATAATATTGCATTAATTTAGGTGTATAAAATAATTGAGATAAATATGTGTGTATTAATACACACATATTTATAGTCAAATGACCACCTCAAAAGTTTAGTAAACTATTACTCCATAGACTAAAACATTTTTTTTCTTGTCTTCAGAACTTTTAAGATCTACTGTTTAGTAGCTTTCAAATATATGATACAGTAGTGTTAACTATAGTCACCATGCTGTACATTACATTCCCAGGTCTTATTTATTTTATAACTGGAAATTTGTACCTGTGACCGCCTTCACCCATTTTGTCCACTCATCCCCCACCTCTGGCAAATTCCAGTCTGTTCTCTGTATTTGTGAGTTTGGTTTGGTTTTGTTTTGTTTTGATTCCACATATAAGTGAAATCCTATGGTATTTGCCTTTTTCTGCCTGATTTATTTCACCTAGCGTAATGCCTTCACGGTCCATCTATGTTGCAAATGGCAAGATTTCCCTTTTTTTTTTTTTAAATGGCTGACTAATAGTCCCATGTATATATATACACCACATTTTCATATCTATTCATCTTTTGACAGACACTTAGGTTGTTTCTGTATCTTGGCTATTATAAATAATGCTGCAGTGAACATGGTGATGTAGATATTTTTTCAAATTAGTATCTTTGTTTACATTGAACATATGTAGAAGGGGCATTGCTGGAACATATGGTAGTTCTGTTTTTAAATTTTTGAGGAGCCTCCATACTGTTTTCCATAGTGGATGCACCAGTTAGCATTCCCACCACTAGTGCACTTTTCTCCACATCCTCACCAACACTTGTGATTTCTTGTCTTTTTGATGACAGCCATTTTGACAGGTATAAGGTGATATCTCATTGTGGTTTTGATTTGTATTTTCCTGATGATTAGTGATGTTGAGCACCTTTTCGTATACCTTTTGACCATCTATTTGTCTTCTTTGGAGAAATGTCTCTTCAGATCCTCTGCCCATTTTTAATACAAAGTGTTTGTTTGTTTTGCTATTGAGTTGCATGACTTCTTCATATACCTTGGACATTTATATCTGATACATGATTTGCAAATATTTTGCAGGAGCTTTTTGGTTTGATGTAGTCCCACTTGTTTGTTTTTGCTTTTGTTGCCTTTGCTCTGGTATCTGTACTTTTAAAGAAGTTTAGCATTTCGGGGAAAAAATTAGCCTATTGGGAAATTTGACATTTCATTTATTTAATGAAGAAGTTTGATGCTGCAGAAGATTTATGTATGGATTAAATGTGTAACCAAAAAGAAGACTGAAGTTAAAAATATGTTATAGACAGCATGTGAGGGTGTTGAAAGGAAAACTTAAAAACAAAGTGTCTATTTTATAGTATACATAGCTGAATTTATTTTTTCATTTCTTAGATTTGGATATTGAAAAATCCTACTGATTTTTCATTTGAGTTATACTCTTTTTATATTTTGAATAATAAAATTTTAGAATCTTAAGATTATGGAAGTCTTGGGAACTTTTTTATTTTATACATATATGCACATGTGTGAATTATACATATATCACAGTATTATATAGAAATTTCATTATATTCAAATTATTTTTGATAACTGAGCAGAACTTTGTATTAGATTTGTTCTGGGACATTCTTTTTTGTTGATTGGTGAGCTTTCTGGATTTAATAGTATCAATTTTTAGGGGATTTTTTCCCCCCGTATAGGTTCATATTACCTTTGAGGACAGGGGATTAAGGATACAAAATAGAGTTTAGGGAAATGAGGAAAAAGGTAAGAATGTAACAAGAATTGCATTCATTGACCAAAAGTAAATATGGTGCATACACGTATGTGTGTACGTGTGTGTCTTGGGATGGTGTGCAGGGCATGTGCCATGAGTTGCAGAGATACTGTTCCCAGGCTCTATAGAATTTAATCTGTTGGAGGAAACTAACAAGTCACCAGGCAGTTACTCTTTGGGCTCAGTGTCGTGTCTGGGTATATAAATTGAGAACTTGCTCATTTGCACGGGATAGATAGAAACCTTAAAATAGTAGCTTCAAGAAGATGAAATTTTATTTCGCTATGTAAGTCAAAGGCCTGGTATGCAGGGATGCAGGCTTATATTTTTTAATTCTACCTCATGGTTCGAAGTTACCATACCCACATTCTAGCTATCAGGAAAGAGGAAAGAAGAAAGAAAGATGCAGTCTCTTTATGGATGTCTCCTGGAAATTGTAGAGTCACCTCTGTGTACATCCCAATGTCATACAGGCTGCAGGAAAGCTGGGAGATAAAAACTTAATGCCAGGGCACCTGGGTGGCTCAGTCGGTTAAGCGACTGCCTTCAGCTCAGGTCATGATCCTGGAGTCCCGGGATCAAGTCCCGCATCGGGCTCCTTGCTCCGCAGGGAGCCTGCTTCTCCCTCTGACCCTCCCCCCTCTCATGTGCTCTCTGTCTCTCTCATTCTCTCTGTCTCAGATAAATAAATAAAATCTTTAAAAAAAAAAACAAAACTTAATGCCAGATAGTCATGTGACCTCCTGGAATTTGGGGGTTCTTGAGTTAAGAAAGAAAGAGAGAATGGATATTGGGGAATAGCTGGCTGTCTCTACCACATAGCAGAGGATCAAAGAGTTATAGGAACATACAGATAGAACCTGTAACCCAGACTTGGGAGGAAGGCAAGACCTTCCTAGGCTCTAGGCACTCCCCACATTCTGTCAAGCATTATGTTGCACCCTCATCTTACATTAAATATAATTTATAAACAGATGAGTTGGATTATAGTTGAGTAGTTTCAATAAGTGTATACTTTAGACATTTATTAACTTTGGTTTTGCATTTTCCCCCTCTCAGTTCTCACATAATTTTTCAGGTCCTTGAAAAGCCTCTAAGCTCATGGAAAATATAGCCTGGTTGGAGGTGGCCAGTTCAGATATTCTTTCAATAATTCAGTTATGAGATAACTGGATCTGGAACTAGGAACATGGCAGTAGGGATAGAAACAAGTAGCTTGAGGGATATTTAAAATATAGCCAATTTCAAGGTAGAGGGACATGATGAGTTGAGGTTTAAATGTGTTAAATTTTGGGGCGCCTGGGTGGCTCAGTCGGTTAAGCATCTGCCTTCGGCTTAGGTTGTGAACCCAGGGTCCTGGGATCGCGCCCCACATCGGGCTCCCTGCTTGGCGGGAAGCCTTCTTCTCCCTTTCCCACTCCCCCTGCTTGTGTTCCTGCCCTCACTATCTCTCTCTCTGTCAAATAAATAAAATCTTTTAAAAAAAAATGTGTTAAATTTTGATGATCGGACATCTAAGTGAGTGTATCTGGAACTCAAAAATAAAAACAAAAACAAAAAAACCTACGTTAAAGGAGTCAATAACATATAATTGCTAATTGTAACCACAAGAGTGGGTGAATTGACCCAAGGAGAGTTAATAGGGATCCCAAAATCATTTTTGTGTTTTGAAAGCTATTTTTGAAAAATGTGAGCGCTGGAACAGTATGCTTAAAGATTTTGATTTTGTAAATTAAGGTCAAGGGCCACTAGTATAGAGTAAAAAGAGAATCTGGCTTCAAACAGGGCCCTAAGAATGACATTTATTTTTAATTTAATTTTGTTTTATTATGTTATGTTAGTCACCATACAGTACATCATTAGTTTTTGATGTAGTGTTCCATGATTCATTGTTTTCGTATAGCACCCAGTGCTCCATGCAATACGTGCCCTCCTTAATTCCCATCACTGGGCTAACCCATCCCTCCACCCTCCTCCCCTCTAAAACCCTCAGTTTGTTTCTCAGAGTCCATAGTCTCTCATGGTTCGTCCCCCCCCTCCGATTTCCCCACCTTCATTTTTCCCTTCCTTCTCCTAATGTCCTCCATGCTATTCCTTATGTTACACAAATAAGTGAAACCATATGATAATTGGCTTTCTCTGCTTGACTTATTTCACTTAGCATAATCTCCTCCAGTCCCATCCATGCTGATGTAAAAGTTGGGTGTTCGTCCTTTCTGATGGCTAATATTCCATTGTATATATGGACCACACCTTCTTTATCCATTCATCTATTGAAGGGCATCTCGGCTCTTTCCACAGTTTGGCTATTGCAGACATTGCTGCTATGAACATTGGGGTGCATATGGCCCTTCTTTTCACTACATCTGTGTCTTTGGGGTAAATATCCAGGAATGCAATTGCTGGGTCATAGGGTAGCTCTATTGAGATACCACCTTACACCAGTTAGAATGGCAAAAACTGACAAGGCAAGAAACAACGAATGTTGGAGAGGTTGTGGAGAAAGGGGAACTCTTTTACACTGTTGGTGGGAATGCAAGTTGGTACAGCCACTTTGGAAAACAGTGTGGAGGTTCCTCAAAAAATGAAACATAAGAATGACATATTTTTAAGAAATGGTCAAGTATGAGGATCTCCATTAAAGCATAGATGAGAGAGGAGGTGAAAACTGGGAGATGGTGTTAGTGCAGGCCAAAGAAAGAATGTCTCAAAAAGGAGAGGGTAGTTATCAGTACAAATATTGGAAAGAAGGCCCAGTAAACCCAGGACTGAGAACTACCTATTGGGTTTAGCAGCAAGAAGATTATATGTTACCTTTGTGAGAGTAGAGGGTCTGAGTGGCAGAAGCTAAACTATAATGGGTAGATGAATACCAAATAGACAAGTGAAGAAGAGGGAAGATTTTTCCAGAAGTTGTGTTATGACGGAAAGAGAGGGGGAAGATGGTGGCTGGAGAGGAATATGAGTTGGAGGAAGGTTTTTTTAAGGTAGTAGGATTTGCACAAATATACAAGCAGATGGAAATGGGAGAAGTTGAAAAGCTGAAAGAGAAGTGATGATGTCTGATGTGGTAGGAGTAGAGGGGATTCCAAACACAGAGGATTGGGGGCACCTGACTGGTTATAGGTAGCTGTGAAACTCCTCATGTCCAGGACTAATAGAAGCATGGGACACATTCTGCTGTGCTCCAGACTCTCTCTCCCTGATATCATCCCAGCTTGTAGGAGACAAGACTGTCAGTCTTCACATCTCCTCAACTCGTACCTTCCCCAGCCCTCTACCATGTTGAGACATTTTTTTCTTTATACTTCTGCCCCAACAGAGAGAGGTGAATTTTCCCGCTTTCTGCTGTAATAGCAGTGAGGTGGGATGTAGCCGAGGAATTTACTACCAATGGGACAGGCAGAAAACCATCACTTGCATTGCAGTACTAGTGTGGAAGGTACATGCACACAAGTTCATAAATGTTAGTTGAATCTTAGGGTCTGCCTTATACCTCACTTCAATCTGAATGGATAAAATTTATATGCCATTCAATTAAAGGATATAAAATCATGGTGTAATGGTTATTTCACTCATTCAGTGTAAGAAAATATTGAGGACATTTTCCGAGTGCAGCATGTACCAGCATTACCCATTAAATCAATGTTACATGTCACTAATGCATGTATGCATTAGATCCTCAAGTGTAGTAGAATAGTTGCCATCTAAATCAAATATTTGTAGTAGTGATAATTCTGTTCCAGTGTGTTTTCTTTTGGTTCTTTATTAATATTCAGTGGTAATTAAGATTCTATGGCCAGTTGTACATCTGAAACTAATATTATACTATGTGTTAACTATCTGGGATTTAAATAAAAACTTAAAAATTTTTTTTTAAAAAGAAAGAGCACAAGCAGGGGGAGCAGGAGAGGGAGAAGCAGACTTCCCGCTGAGCAGGGAGCCCGATGGGGTACTCGATCCCAGGACCTGAGCTGAAGGCAGATGCTTAACCGACTGAGCCACCTAGGCGTCCCTAAAAAAATTTTTTTTAAATTAAAAAAAAAAAAAAATTCTGTGGCCAAAATTATTCTCTGATAGGGAAAAAAACATCATGTGTAATAGTGAATGAAGGACCAAATGGTTTTTTTATGAAGGCTTTTTAAAATTTTGTTTTGTAAAGGATAGCAATGAAAACATTTGTTCATTTATACTTTATCTTTCTCCTTATTCCTATTGATGTTTACATTTTTATTTTTTATTTATCCCACATTAATCAGTTAAGAGGTGTGGGGGTTCAAAGATGAAATGACATACATCACAGTCTAGAAGAGTAGACTCACATAATTTATAACCCAATTGTTTGTTATTCTAGCAAAGAGTAGTTCAGGAAGCCAGGGCATTTGTCATAATACTGGAAAATCATCTTTTCTGATGGAAAGGAACAAGAAAGAAATGAGATTTATGATTTCATAAGTTTTTTGAGCTTTTAAAACAGAACCTTAAACAATGTCAATTTTATACCCTGGCCTTATGAATGATTACTATTTTATTCCTTTTAAAAAAATTTTATTATTTAGCTTTCTCTCTTCTCTGGTGACTTTTTTTTTTTTTTTTTTTGCCTTTTAGATTTGACTATAACATTAAGAAGCCAACTTCAAAACATGAAGCATTTTGAGTGATTGAAAGTGTCTGTTCTGTTGAACTTATGAGAGCTGGCCCCACACTAGCGTAGCTGCTACTTTTTGCTTTTTGGGGAAAAAGTCACCAGGGTATCTTCTTTCTGTCTTTGATTCTGACTACTAGCATTGCAGGGGTCAGCAGGCAACTTAAGCTAGAGTTCTCTTCCTTATTCCGGGAGTTTGTTTTATCACTGTTGTGCCTTTGACAAGGCCTCCTGTCATGTTTGCTTGGTACTAAACTGTTCTTAGAAATGTTTTTCCTGGAGGAGTTATAGACCTTCTTAAAAAGGATTTGATACCAGAGAGAACTTCCATTTTAAAGTTATAGCCAAAATGCCTTTTTAAGTAAACTTAAATTGGCTTACTTATTGAGAGTATGTTTTTAAAAAAATGATCATACCTTTTTTTAAGTCTGCCTAATGTTTTCCCTTTCCCCCTTTATAGCTGGATCGACTGGTTGTGGATGCAGCAAAGGAGAAAAGAGAGATGGAGCAAAAACATTCCACCATTCAACAAAAGGTACCTGATAAGAAAAGTTACAGGAGAGTAATTCCCATTTTACACAATTGTTTGATTATTGGTTTCAGCAAGATACCATTGTGTTCGAACAAATCCTTTAAGTTGCTGTAGTAATTGAATTGGGTAGAAAATTCCTCCTTTTTTTTGTGAAAAGTAAAATATTTTTTAGATGGTCAGGCAGTATTTGAAAGCCATGTTTTTGAACCACTTTGCAAAAACTCAAAGGATCTTTTTTTTTTTAAATTCTTTCTTTCTTTCTTTGAGAGAGAGAGAGCACGAGCAGGGAGGAGGAACAGAGGGACAGGGAGAGACGCTGTCTCCCTGCTGAGCAGGGCTTCATCCCAGGACTCCGAGATCATGATCTGAGCCGAAGGCAGACGCTTAACCAACTAAGCCACCGAGGCACCCCAATCTCATAGGATCTTAACTAATTAAAAAATGGCCCTTAGAATTTAAACTGCTATTTACAGTTTCAGTTAGGATATCACCAATCCCTGTAAAGTGTGTGAGTGAGAGGGGGTAGCGTGTGGGGTGGGGGGTAGGCAGAGAGGGTAGTGGAGAACATCTTTGCATCAATGTGTGTGTTTGGTATTGTGGACTTAACAGCTATAGTTACTCTGAGGCAGCCCTTGCCCTCTTTCATGTGATACTGGAATTTCACGTGCATTACTTGTTAATTTGCCTAAGCTTAGCTAAACTATTTGAAAAATATATTTTTAAAATGGAAATTTAAATATGACACATTTTTATTTTTGTGTGTGGAGAGCTTTGAATACAACTAACTTGGAACTCAACCTAACAATATTTTGTCTTACATAGTGATATTTTTGTGTGGTAATCTGAAAATAAAATGAGAGAACTGGAGGTTGAATCTAATAATACAAGTGTGTGACAAGATGCCTTCTGTACTTACCTGCCAAGGGAGATAGCATGATCACAAAAGTGGTTTTCCCAGGGTCAGGCTTATCCATTGACTCCAAATGTGCCGACCCTTGGAATTTCCCCAAATGTGGGAAACTTGACTGCATAATTTGTGGTAGTGGGGCACCCTATTCATGTGTTCCCCTAAAAAAAAAAAGGATGCCTTCTAGCATTGCTTTAAGAAATCTGTTCCTGTGGTATTGACCAGTCAGATCAACTTTTGTTATGGTTTATTTAGAATTTAAAATACTAGTGAACTAGATCTGACATAAAAGATGTCAGTAGAGGGCGCCTGGGTGGCTCAGTTGGTTAAGCGACTGCCTTCGGCTCAGGTCATGATCCCAGGGTCCTGGGATCGAGTCCCGCATCGGGCTCCCCCTGCTCTTTGGGGAGCCTGCTTCTCCCTCTCCCTCTGCCTGCCACTTCCCCTGCTTGTGCTCTTTCTCTCTCTCTGTCAAATAAATAAATAAAAATCTTAAAAAAAAAAAGTAGAAAAAAATTAAAGTGAAGTCAGTAATACAAGTAAGGAAAATTTTATTGGGATGGGTTATTAATATTCAAAGAGAAACATTATTTACAAAGGGAAGGATTTTCTACTGGATCATCTTTAACTTAGTTACTTCCAGTTATAGTTAGGTAAGACTAACTTCCTGTTTTGTTTTGTTTAAAGTTAGACTCACTTTTGGTTGGGTAATTTGTGTTAATGACATTACCATGGAGAGATTGTTAAAAATTGGGACCAGTCATTTCTAATTAAAATGAGAGATCATGATACTTGTAGATACTTGTGACTGTTTGCTTAAATTGAATTATTTAATGAATATTATGTATCTTTTAATATCTTTCCCTGTTGTATACACAGCTCAGTGTTGTACTGAAGGGCCAAAAGTAGTAGATTATTGAATCTAAGATTAATTTACTCGATTTTAAATAATAGTCAATTACTGCTGTACTTTAAAGAAAGTAATGCTATTTTGCTTTTTTTTTTTGCCCTTAAATGCTGACACAAGGCTGCATTACAGGTAAAAAAAAAAAAAAAAAAAGAGAGAAAAAGAAAAGAAAATGATTCAGTCACGTAAAAATTAAGGGAAAGTATGTCTGATGTACCTAATGTAATTATTTACTTACATACATTTTTCAAGAATTGAAATTGATCAATTAAAGAAACAATGATGCTATGCACATTCATGTACATGCCTTTTGGATATGTGTACGTATTCCTGATATATTTATACCTAGGAGTAAAACTGCTGGTTCAGAGGGTATAGATAAATGCTAAATTACTTTTCAAAATGATATTACCATTCCTGACAGGCAGCACTGTGAGTTCTTAGTGCTCCTTGCCACCCCATGGTATTGTGAGAGTTTTTAATTTTTGCTAATTTTGGTGGGTAGATACTGACATCTCGTTGTGGTTTTAATTTATGCTTTAGTTACTAATGAACTCAAGTACCTTCCACCTTGCCTATTGGTCATTTGGATATCCTGTTTGTGAAATGTCTGTTAGTTTTTCTTCCATTTTTCCAACAGGTTGCCTAACTGTTGATCAGATTCTTCATATCATCTGGATATAAGCCTTTTTGGGGGGATATATGTGTTTTTAATTTTCACATAGTTTTTTTTTTTTAATGTCTTTTATGTTTGGTACTTTTTGTGTTTTGTTTAATAAGTCCTTCTTATCCCAGGATCATAAAGATATATCTCCTGTATAATCTTCTAAGTGTTTATAGATTTGCCTTTTATGTTTAGACCTTAAATCCATCTGTAATTGGGTGATTGTGTATGGTGTGAGGTAGAGATCCAATTTCCTTGTATTCTTATACTGGTATCTAGATGATCCAGAATCAGTTAACTAAAAAATGTGTTCTTTCCCTACAACTCTATTATATCTTCTGATTTACATCATGTTTGCATACATGTGAAGTCTGTTTCAGGTTTTCAATTCTTTTCATTGGCCTTTTTGTCTTAATTGTGCCAATACTATGCTGCTTTAATTATTTTAGCTTTATAGTATATCTTGATATCTGACAAAACAAAGTCTCTTACGTTCTCTGCTTCAAAAGTGAATTCCCTAAATTTTGTGTTCTTATATAAATTTCAGGGACAGACTTTCAGGTTGCATAAAAATAGCTTTTGGGATTTTGATTGATTTCATTGGATCTATGACTCAATATGGGGAAGGATTGATATTTTTATTTTATAATGTCTTCTAATCTATGAGCTTGAAATATTTTTCTTTAATGTCCTTTATAAGCTTGATATTTTCTTCTACATCTTTTGTTAAATTTATTCCTAGATACTTATATTGCAAATATTATTGTAAATGTTGTCTTAAAATTTTCTTTTCTCGCTGTTTACTCTTATTACATATTAGAATAAAATTGATTTTTCTGTTGACTTTGAAACCTGTTTTCTTGTTAAGTTCTCTTTAATGCTAATTTATCTCTGGATTCTTTTGGATGTTCTTGTACGAAGTCATATCATCTGCTAATAATAATAGTTTCTTCCTTTCAGATTTTTTCCCTACTTCTTTTTTATTTTTTTGGCTAGGACTTCTAACATAATCTTGAAGTGATAATGGTCCTTCTTGTCTTGGTTGCAATTTCAGAAATAACTTCTCTTTATTGGTCAATCTTAGTCTTGCCTTCTCTTCCCTGGGCCTCACACCAAAGCTTCAAATTCTGATGAGGCAAATGCCCTTAAGGTGAAATCTGGCTTCCTTGATCTGCTTACCTCTTCAAGCCTGCTACTTTCACTTAATCTTTTGCCTTTGAGTATTTCTTCCTAATTTGTCAGGTCATCAATATATTTAAATTATAGTATTATATATTTTATACAATGCTATTTCTTTCATTATAAAATCATATAATCTCTCACATTTTAAGTATTATACAATATTAATTGATATTAATAGTAAATAAATTGAAGACAACCTATCTCAGGAAATATAGTTGAAAATTAGAAAAATACTTATAATGCACTGTACTTCAAGGAGGTTATATTTTAATGTTTTAAGTAGCATCAGGGTCATTAAAAACTGCCAGTGTTATAAATGAAACCTTTAGAATGTTGCCAAACTCAATTATGTCAATTGCTGACATAATCATCTGTGTGCATAATTAAATACATTACAGCCTCAAATAAATTTTAAATGAGGGAATTAAAGTTTTCCTGATTTTTTTTTTCCCAAAGAAAAAGCAGGAGAAAGTGTAGCAATTTGTTTATAAATTCTGTTTCATTTGATTATTTTGGATTAGCATATTTTTTATGGTTAAATTTTGAGAGATGTCAGCAGAGGTTTTTAATTTTGTTTTTCTGAATTTATTCTGTTTCCATTTTCCATCTTTGTAGACGCTTAGATTTGGAAGGTTCCTAGGTGATTCTCACTCTGCCTCCCCTCTAGGGGAGGACCCTCACATCCCAGCATTCTTGGCAGATGGTCTTGTAGCTTCTGCCAAAATCTTTCTCAAGACAGACTTTGCTATTCCCTAAAAGGATAATATTCTAACTTTGATTATTGGTCCAGATGTAATTTTAAAAGTTCTGAGACTGATTTTTAGAGTTTTAAAATTGGGGATAATAGCAGTCTTGCAGTTTTTGTACAAATTACTTTGTAAGTTCATCAAGAAATATTTTTTATTTTAATTTTTTAAAAATATTTTATTTATTTATTAGAGAGAGTACGAGTTGTGGGGGAGGCCCAGAGGGAGAGGGAGAAGCAGAAGCAGACTTCCTGCTGAGCGGGGAGGCCAATGTGAGGCTCCATCCCAGGACCCTGGGATCATGACCTGAGCTGAAGGCAGACGCTTAACCGAGTCACCCAGGTGCCCCAAGATTTTTTATTTTTAAATGATCTTTACATCCCACGTGGGACTCGAACTCACTATCCCGAGTCAAGAGTTGCATGCTCTACCCACTGAGCCAGCCAGGTGCTCCATCAGGAAGTATTTAAAATATAAGATTTCTGATTTCAAAACTTCATGAATCCTTAGAGGAAAATTGAAAGTTTGAATTGAATTCATGTGAAGACTAGAATGTCTAGAATGATAGAAGATTATGAGGCATTCCATAATCCTAATAAAAAAGTGAGCTCAGCATGCCCACTTCAAAATGTGGTTCTTTGCAAAACAAAATTTTATTTTAGGAACATACGCCTTTATTCTATTTCTGAACTCCCCAGTAGTGGAGTTAGTACTCCTGTCAGATTAAAAAACTACCATAATAGTAATATACTTAGAGAATAGTGGTTGATTTAAGTAATCCCAGTTTAAATATTCCTTTTTTTTAAATTGATATCACACACATCACAATACAATATTAGGATAAAATGAAAACATTTTAAACATAACATGCATTATATTGAGTTGTTCCTTTTGTCTGTTTGTATACATAATATTTTGTGCCTTTAATCACTGTGTATATAATTTGTATTGTTTTTCAGAGTATTATTCTATATAATCATCTGTGTTTTAATATTGTCATTATAATAATTATTGCATAACAGGCCACTGAATTGAAATACCTTTATATATATATATATATATATATATATATATATATGTACACCCCTAATATTTAGGTCTCCCCTTTTCTTATGACTTAATATAACTTAATATAACTGTTTTAATACAAAGCTTTTCTGTGGTTTGAGCTGTTTCTCTATGATAAATTTGTTGTGTAAGGGACTTAATCAAATCATACGAACCTTTATTTCGTTTAGGATTTCTCCAGTGATGACTCTAAGTTAGAATATAATGTAGATGCTGCAAATGGCATTGTTATGGAAGGATATCTGTTCAAACGAGCCAGCAATGCCTTCAAAACTTGGAACAGGTAATATATTTCAAATACTAGTCTTGATCTTGGGACATTGTTTTCTGACCTTCCCTGTGATTTGGCAGCTCTTTCTTTCATAATTCTTTAAATTCACCGTCCATAATAACTTTCTTGAACCCAGTCCATTGAAGATAAGTTGCCCTTCTAGGAAAGGGGATCCTAAGAAGCAAGTGAAAAATGATAGCACTAATTGTAAACTATAAAATTTAAGCAAAGTATAAACCAGGAAGCAAGAATTTTTTTCTCCTTTGGGTTCCTTCTCTGTGTGATGTTTATGTACATTTTAATTTAGTGTTTGCTTATGAATTTTTACTGATCTTTTGAACTTTGCAATAACTTTAACCAGGACTTTTAGGAAATGAGATTGTTTTTATATGTGAAGTGTGTGTGGCAGTTGGTGCTCCTTTATTCTAAACTTGATGGCTACCAAAAATGTTACTTTTTGTTGTTGTTAAACTGGTTTTTATAAAATATTAATCATGTAAATGTCTGTTATATAAATATATAAAATATTTTGTTTTCCTGTGTATTAATATAATAAAGTGAAATAATTTCAGACATTAAAGCATTAAAAAAAAAAAGATGTTGACTCAGGATCATCCTTCCAAAAAGTAGTGATTAGTCTTTTATTCAAGGATACCTCTGTTTTTGCGAAAAAACCAAAAAAGTAGTCAGAACAATTTAGTAATAATTGAGAGTAACATTGGGTTCTGGTGAATTGATTTACATTATTGGTTGGATATGTTTGTTTTATTTGCTACATGAACAGGACATGAATTCACTTAATGATAGAGAAGATTGTTTTCTTTTTTAAAAAAATGGACATTAACAAAATAAATAGAATTTTCTTGGTAAATTTAATTTAATATACATTCTTAATTTAAATGGAAACTAATGCTTGAATATTTCATGTATTAAAATGGATTCCTAGTGCACTTATTTTGATTTCTTGGTGATGAGGTTATATGGAAAAAATATTCACTAGTATTTTCAAATGTCAGTGATTTATTGAGCATTTCCCTAGCATTTGATATTGCCAGATATTTAAATCTATGAGGTATTTTTTTATTTGAAATAATTTTTCTTTACCTGAGGATGAATATAAACTAGAAGGTGATCATATTTAATATTAAATTTAGTATTTAATAAATATTTAATTTAATATTAAAGCCTCTTTGAATTATGTAGAACTTCTAAAATAATGTATGAATAGAAGGACCAACTAAGGTGGTCTGGGTAGAAGTAGTGTTTCTAAGTAATGTAAAGTGAAAATGAAAAATTAAAATTCTGTTTTCTAAGCTGTTTAAGTTAAAACAATAATCTTTTAAGTTTTTCCTGGCAAATTTTCATAGCCAGAATAGGAAATTAAAATAAAAAATAGTGTGTCACATTTTTATAATAAATAAAGATTTCTCAACCAGTACAGTTTCATGAGATAATGTTAGAATTGAATTTTAACCTTCAGATTTCAAAACAACCTACTTAAAGTTTAACACAGTGAAAATACAATAAATCCATAGAAACTATACCATTATGTTAAGAAGAAATGAAATGATCTTCCATGGACTACTCCAATGAGAAATGATCTCAGACTTCAAAATGAAGCACAGTAAGTGTTAGTGGAAAATTGCATTGCCATTTAAGGCAATAGGAGAAATTTAATTCTGATTTAAGCATGGACCATTCATTTTTATTATTTGTTTCATGAATTCTATTAATTGACATAGATAATAAAATGTAACTAAAAGCAAGTAGGGAATAACTATTAAATTCTCAGTTGTAGACATGTTACCTTCCTTTTTTTTTTTTTTTAAAGATTTCATTTATTTATTTGACACAGAGAGAGCACATAAGCAGGGGGAGCAGCAAAGGGAGAGAGAGAAACAGGCTCTCCGCTGAGCAGAGAGCCCAATGCAGGGCTCAAGCCCAAGACCCTGGGATCAAGACCTGAGCTGAAGGCAGACGCTTAACCGACTGAGCCACCCAGGCGCCCCTGTTACCTTCCATTTGTAAAGTGGAAAAGACAATGCCTTTGGAAATGAGGCTGCTCTTTAAAGGAGATGCCATCTAATTGTAGTGGGGTGACAGTTATTGATTAGAATCATGGATCGTATTTCAACATCCTAATTTTTAGTAAAGAAATGAAGGTGCAGAGAGATGGTTGCTCTTTGAAGGTCACACGGCTGGTCTGTGACAAGACTGAGGCCTAAAACCTGTCATTTTTTTTTTTTAATGTGCTATGGAAATTCCATATAAATTTGTGTTTTGATAAAATAGAATATGTCAAATCTTTTTTTTTTTTTAAAGACTTTATTTATTTATTTGAGAGAGAGAGAGAGAAACAGCATGAGAGGGCAGAGGGTCAGAGGGAGAAGCAGGCTCCCCGCTGAGCCGGGAGCCCGATGTGGGACTCGATCCCGGGACTCCGGGATCATGACCTGAGCCGAAGGCAGTTGCTTAACCAACTGAGCCACCCAGGCGCCCTGAATATGTCAAATCTTTTAAAAATAGCTTAAGAACTATTAAAATTTCCTAGTCTATTTACATTATTAGAAAAATTATGGATAGCAGATTATTTCATTTTTATATGCCTTTAAAAAGAGTGTTTTCATGAAAATACCAGTAAAAAGCAGACTTCTAAGGAACATAGCATATAAGCATTGTATAAAAGTATCTTCATAGAAAACAAGTCAAAACCTTATAACAAAAGTTTTAGATATTTTCTAGGTTATAGATCAGTAACGTTGAAAGGGAGAAGAAAAATCTATTAAATGTTAGAATTTTTTTCTGCTTTTCAATTTAAAAATTTGGAATGTATCTTAAATTTCTTATATGAAGCTTATAAAAAATCTAATCTCAGGAAGTACTTGGCAGTTACCTTCCCTTTACCTATTATGACTGTAGAGTCTGTCCTCCTTCTCTAATTAGTTCTCTATCTAGCTTGATTTCATATATTTGATTAGACTTCAAATAAAAGGCTGTATTTGTGATATTTGTACCTCAACTTTAAAAATCTAGGATTCCAGTTCTTCAAGCATACAGATTTTTCTGCTTACTCTTGACGTATCTTCTTTAGATTGTCCGTAGATTAGTTTTAGGGAACACTTTTCCTTGTAGTCACTATAAGGTACCAATCATATGATGACAAATTTGCCATTATTTATAGTTCTATGGAATAGTGGTGTGTAATATTTTCAAAGCCAACATTTATTTATTTATTCATTTTTATTTCAATTCCAGTTAACATACAGCATAATAATAGTTTCAGGTGTAGAATTTGTGATGCAACACTTACATAGAACACCTGGGGCTCATCACAAGTGCCCTCCTTAATCCTCATCACCCATTTAAGCCAACTTTTAAAAAAGACTTACTTCCTGAGGGAAATGTGTATTTGACTAGGAATTCCCAGGTAGTTTTAAAACCTGTCCCTGTGCTTCAATCTAAGCATCATTCTCTAATTTGAAATTTTACGGAAGAGATTATATGTTGTGTGACGTGATTGAAAGAGTGTAAGGAGTGAGACACTTTATGTCTTATGTGAATTGTTGAATTTGTCTCTCGGTTTCAGATTTCTAGTTTGTAGTGTCTCAGGATTTTTATATGTCTGTAATATATATTTTTCTGAAAAGGTGAGATCTACCAAAATTATCTCTCCATATCAGGCCATTTCTCAATGGCAGCTTAACCTCAGACTCGAATCAGTGCCAGATGCATTATTCGTACCTCTATGTCTCTTTTGCTTTTTATGATACATTCAGAAAGATGAATGAACAAGGAAAATAATTAAATACTGTTTAATAGTAAGCTGGTAAAATGAATTAAGAAACTGAATTATTACATGCTAAGGTCAGTCTGTTGAACTAGAAAATATAGCTAAAAGCATAAAATGTATTATACAGTTTCTTAAAGTATTATATATGTTGCTAGCACAGTTATAAATTTTATTTTTATCGACTTTTTGTTTAAAATAAGACGTGTATGCATAGATTAAAGATACTCTACTTATGTGTGGCCTTTGAGTGTCTGCTGTCATTGATGAAAAGGTAGGAGGTAGGTTTATTTGCCTAATGATATTTTATAATCTTTGAAATTCTTAATTAGTGATCCTATTTTCCTCATGGAAAGTTTTCATTTGTTTCAGGTTTATGAAGATATATCTATAGTGATTATTTCCCTTAATTTTTTAGGAACAACTTATTAAGAGGAGAAGTACTGTATTTTATAGCTATCACCATAGAGGCAGAAAAATAAGAGTAGAGGTATGCCCAAGTGTGCTAAGTCCTATCAGAACTTTTTATACCATAATAATTGGAAAAAATTTTTGAATATTTCTGAAATATTAGCATTTCAGATTCCTAAGAGTTAGAATTGTGTAAATGCATAATGTATAAATTTGAGAACAAAATGCAACAGATATTTTTGACTATTTTGTTAGGTTTGAGCTTAAGCTTGTTTCTTTAATTCTTGCTTTATTTTCATATCATGCTAGTCCTTTGCTTATTTTGCACATTTGCGTTTTCATTCTTTTACCACCTTTCCTTTATGTTTTAATCCTGCCCCATTTTTTCACATGACAGGAAAAAGCCCGATCATATCAGGTACCAAATGGCTTCCTTCCCCTCATTCCTGCCTTACTCCAGTTTCCTCTTTGGCACGAGAAAGCTCATAATTAACCTGCATTTCAATTGGATTACTTGCAATGGATATAATGTCTCATGTTTTAAATTGGGAAGAAAATACACACATTTCATTTGAGGAATGGAATTATCTTTTCATTGCCAATTGCCTCTATTTGTTTTAATTGAAAATGAAAACATTTGATATATTTATAGTTCCCCAGAGATACAGAATTGTATAGATACAAATGCCTTTGTATCTTTTTTTTTTTTAAGGAAAATAAGCCAGTAAACAGTTTCAAAAATTTTAAACAGTAACTAGGAATTAGCGCCTTTGGTAATAATCATATTAGTTTTATTGAAAATAAAAATTGTCAATTCCAGCTGTTTTGTTTTAACATTTTGGTCTTTTTCCTTGGGAAAATTTAAATTGAATTTGAAAGATAGTAGCATACATGCTGAAGCTTTTAATTTTGTTAAATGTTCACCTATTTGGCACCTATATGAATATGTGTGTAAATCTATCATTTTTATAGTTTTAGTGAGAAATCTTCTACAGATTTAGATGTTTTACTTTTACATTTTATTCTTGGTTTCAAGTGCAGTTCTAGGACTCATGATTAAACATGGTAAAAGACACTTAAGTTATTTTTTTTATATATTTTTTCCTTTACCCTCCATGCTATCTGGAAGCTCTCATAGGTATTTCAGTGTCAATAATATCTAATTGTTTATGAATTTAGTATTTTGGTCTAAAGTCTTTATTGAGTTATTTCACTTTGGGATAGATATAAAGTGGTGTATTATTTTTCTTAATGAGCCAAGAAATTTTGCTTTTTAAAAAACAGTCTTATATTTTGGCTTTGTGGTCAGTTTCTGAATTTTGTAGAATATAGTGTAGTTGTCAGCTCGGTGCTTTCTAAAGTTTGTCTTTTTTATTATTTAATTATCTTAAAAAATTGTTTTTTAAAGTTTAAGTAATCTCTACACCTAACGTGGGACTTGAATTCATGACCCCAAGATGAAGAGCTGCACGCTCCTCCTCCTCCTCTGGCACCCCCTGGCACCTCTATTTAATTATCTTTTAAAGTAGCTCCAAATTGCAGGCAGCACGAGCTTGAAATATTAAGTATCTTATTCTATACATCATAGGCTATGAACTCTCTCATTTTTCCTTTTATTAGAAATGTTAATAATAGCTAGGATTATCCTATAAGAGCAGTTTAAAAATTATATTCCATTTTACTTACCTGATTAAAGTTTTGATCAGTGTCAATGAATATAGTTGGATCTTTTTTTCTTTTTTTTCTTTAATGGCAGAGGAGGGGAGACAGTGTCATACAACATACAGATCTTAGTTTTTTTTTTTTTCTATGTAAGGTACATTTTGATTTTGTTCCTTAGGAAATGTTGTCAAAATTAAGATGAATTTATAGTGTCTTCCCTGAGTGTACAAAAAAATGAAGATGTGCGAGAGTCACCCAGAAGCAGATAGATGGCAGGGGAACTGGGCTTCAGAAATATACATGAACCTATAAAGTTAATAATCAGGTTTTTATGTAGTGTTTTGTTATTATTTTTAGAGGTTATTATCCTAAGATGCAGCAGTTCAATAGAAATTTATTTTTTAAAGACCTCAGAAGCATGAAAAGTTTACATGGTTATATGGGTGTTTTTCTATTGTGCAGTAAAACTATAGTTTTTCGTAGAATTATATATGATCACTATACTATAAAACATAAGAGTTGTTATTAGTGTAGTTCACCCTACTTCAAATGATTTTTAAAAAACCCACATTAATCAATATCAGAGATTGTTTCCATTGCATGTCATCCTAGTGGCAGGGCTGCACCATTTTGTTTATAGGTATTTCCTTTAACATTTCTAACCAACTATGTGTCCCAAAGCAAAGAAACCCAGAAGTTCTTCCTTTTCTAGCCTGCCTCTTGATGATTTGCATTAGAGGCCAGTCACTTGGTTTTATCTAGATGCTTATTTAACAAATCTCTATTTTAATGGTAAAGGTGATGCCTGTTTAAGTAGCAAGAAAACCTAACAGTCTGTCTAGCTTATAAATAGAAAAGCATCTAATCATTTTCACAGCTTTGGAGAATTAACTTAATTTTTTAAAATAGAAATTCTAAATATGTCTAAATACATTTTCTAGTGCTTTGTATTAGTATCAATGAAAAGGTAGAATCTCTATCTGCTAATAGATTAATAACTAATGTTTACAATAGAAATCATCTCACATGAAACTAATTTTAAAATAATGACCAAATAGTTTTACCTTTCATGCTTGATGAGAATTTTTGCTTCCTTTTATGAATGGCTTTTGGCTGTGATTTTTTTTTTTTTAATAAATCTTTAGGTTCTTTTACTGTTTTAATAAATTAGAATTAGTACATATGCCATGCATACCTTAGCTTTTTCTTCTAAAAAAGATTGCAAGTAAATTGTTTGCCTAATAATTTACAAGAACAAGCAGAACAATATAAATAGGTGAATCATTTTTAGTAATAACTTTTATTATTCTGCTTAGAAGTATTTTATATTAAAGTGAGGTCAAGTGAATTGGCAATTATCTCTTGTTTGATATCAGTTCTAAAATGATTTAATTTCCTGTTTTGCTTAACAAATCAAACGCTTGCTGAATTAGCTGCAGAAAGGTTGTAGACAAAGCACCATTTATTTCAGTGTTTTGCTGTATACAAATGGATAGTCTTTTTTTACAACATAAATTTATTTCTACTTTATAATAGAAGCAATTATTTGGGGGAAAGATTTTTAGTTATTTTTGAGTAACCTCAAAAAACTAAATTTTTACTTTTATAACAGTTATTATTTGGTGATAGTGTAAAGGATAACAGCTGTTGTTAGGATATAAATTTCTGACATAAAATGAATCAAAATACAGTAATTTTATTTTCCTAGTCTGTGGTTTTAAAACTGTTTAAAATTGTTCTTTACTTTCAATAGTTATCTCATTGACATCAGTCTATATAAAACAAAACAAAACAAAACAACGCACTTCTCAAAACATAATTACTATCAATTGATTTTCTAGTGCTTTCCCAAATAATTTATTTCTAACAACTGGCATAAATTATGTTTATGAAAACTTAATCTGTTTTTATTTATTTAGACGCTGGTTTTCAATACAGAACAATCAGTTGGTTTACCAGAAAAAGTTTAAGGTAGGTGTTTTATTAATTAAGTGAAAACCCAGTGAGTCCCCCATTTCAGTTCTCTATTCATCTTGATAAAGCAATGAAGTCTTTAAATAGTCATATATGCAAAATTATTGTTTATTAGTTTTATGTTTAGGCATGTATAAGAGGACTCAAAAGTGGAAAGTAACTTTTGATCCTTAAAAGCAGAGTGATTTTGAATCCTGAATTTTTAACTCCTAGTTTTGAGACAGGTGTTTCTGTGTCCCAGGATTATTACTTTCATTTCTTTGACCAGCTGTGGTGACAGGAACAATACCACCATTCCATAGTACCATTTTGAGGCTGAAGGAAAGGGAGCCTTTTAAGAAACATCACCTTAGGGCCAAAGGTGATAATATGGAAATGTGAAATATGACATTAAAATACAAGCTTGAAGTAATTTAAATAGAAACCTCTAAATTTGTTAATGTTGTTTTTATACATTTCTTTTCTTGAACTTTATTTTAAGGTTGAGGAATTTTTATTTATTGGAAAGGCATACTGAGATTGCATGGCACTTGAGAATGTTAAAAATAATTAGGAAAAAAAAAACCTTTAGTTAATAGATGAATTAATTTTTACCTAGTCTTTGTGAATGATGTATTCAACGGTACATTTAATTATTTTTTTATTATTATTATTTTTAAAGATTTTATTTATTTATTTGAGAGAGAGAGAGACAGCGAGAGAGGCAGAGATAACGAGAGAGCAGGAACTAGGAGGAAAGGGAGAAGCAGGCTCTCTGCTGAGCAGGGAGCCCGATCAGGACCTGAGCCGAGCCGAAGGCAGACGCTTAACGCACTGAGCCACCCAGGCGTCCCTCAGTTGTCCATTTTAAATACTCACTTTACTCTTGAGATATACAATCTGAAGTTTTATTTGCTTGGTTCTGTGCTAGCACGCTTATTCCACATAAGTTCATGGTTTCTTCTGCTTTGATAAACTTGGTTTTGAGTTTATATTTTTGTTAAGTACTAGAAAAATGATAGAAGCTTTCTCATTTTCTTAAGTATTTTAAGAAGAATATATAAGCTTCTTATTTTTTTTTCAGTTACTTAAAACTTGACTGTTAAAGGCTTCTTTTTTAGAGGAAAGTAGCTTTTATTATATGTGAGGGGGACCAGGAGAGTAATGGATATGAAAGAAAATGGAAGAAAATGAAAGTATTTATTTATTTATTGAGCACCTATTAATTACCAAGTGTTAGACTAAGCTATTTACATATACTTCCATTTAATCCTTGTATAGCAATTTTATGAGACAGATAAAATTATGGACAGGACACAGTTACCTTTATTAGTTATATCTGTATAGGAGTTGATAACTCCTATCTCTAATCCTAAATAAGATAAATATAAATCTTTAAAATTAGACCATTTATTCCAAGTAATATTTTAAAGTATGTTATTATTGGTATTGGTAGTAGTATTTAAAAACTAAGTTGATAAACATGGGAGTTTTGTTTCCTTATTGTAGGATAACCCCACTGTGGTAGTAGAAGATCTAAGACTCTGCACAGTGAAACACTGTGAAGACATAGAACGACGTTTCTGCTTTGAGGTAGTCTCTCCAACAAAGTAAGTGGTTCTAAAGAATGAGAGTTGTTTTTAAGTTTCTATCGTTTATTTTGAAGAACTTTTCAGAGTAGAGAAACATTTGTGTTTTACTTGTGATTATGGTAGAAAGGAAAAAAGTGCTTTAAAAGTAAATTTTAATAATTAATGATTACAAGTATTACTGTGAGATATTTAAGTAACTTCTACCTAGTGTCATTTTCTTTAAATTCCATAAAGATTATTGATGTGGCCATATGAAAAGTTTTTACCTGTCTTGATGATGAACTGACATCATATATCAGATCAATTCCTTTGATAATTATCATTTCATATTTCTACCCAATAGAAAAAATTAGTGTTGTATTTGGTAAATTTAAAGTTTGTTTTTTAAATGTTCAGAGATTTGTGATTTTTTCTAATAGGCAATTTATTTCATTTCTATTAATTTCTTCATGAACATACTCTGTCCTAAAGATAGATGAAATAAAACCTTTAAAAAGAAATTATTTTTGTTAGAAAATTATTAAATAGCAAAGAAACCTTATTATTATTTGGGGGGTGTTAACTTAGTGTCTGAGAAAACAATGTTGTTTTCTTTTAGAAGTTGTATGCTTCAGGCAGATTCTGAAAAACTGCGCCAGGCATGGATTAAGGCTGTTCAGACCAGTATTGCTACTGCTTATAGAGAGAAGGGTGATGAATCAGAGGTTAGTAAACAATATTGTAATATGAAATGATACGTTGCCAAAAGTTTTTAATTTTAGTTGTAACATTATATGATTATAACATTTTTTATGGATGATGAATTTTATAATTGAAAGAGGTTTTACTATGAAAATCTAGATTCAATTTCTGTATTTCTTTTTACTTTATCATTTTAGTATATGTTTAATTCAGTATTTGAGTATATGTCCTAGATTGACATAAGGTACTCTAATGTAAATATTTTTCCCAAAATATTTTATTATTCTTATTAATAAAAATTAGTAAAAAATAAAAGACTAGTAATTAGTAAAAATCAAAAAAGGAAAGCTCAAATTGTCTCTGGGTTGAAGTCTCCCTGGATAAGTTAAGCTGAATGTGGAGTGTTGAGTCATAGTCTGGCTTCAGCTTCCCAGTGATTTTACAGACTTCTGAGCAAGGCCATTAGTAAGTTTTGAGAAATGGAACTTAACAATTCCTCTAGTAACTTCTTCAAAATGAGGCATTTGTGAGTCTGCATGTTTGAAAATATTTTATCCTCACCTTTGTTTGATAGTTTGGTTGGGTGTGGAGTTTTTAGGTTGGAAGTAACTATTCTTAAGAATTTTAACAGCATTGTTTAGTTTCCAGCATTGCTGTTGGGAGTCTTTCTTATTACTGATCTTTTTTTGTATTGCTCCTCTCCAATTTTCCTGTTTTCTTTTTCTGGAATTTCTGGACTGATTTTCTGATTTTTTGTGTTTTTGCTTTACTTTCTTGGGAGATTTTCTCAGTTAATCTCCCAAACCTTCTATTGAATACTTTAGTTCTGTTAGCACATATTAAATTTCAGGAGTTTCTTTTTGTTTGCTGAATGTTTATACATGTAAACCTGTTCTTTCTTTATGGATACAGTGTTAGAGCTATGGTTTTTAAACTTGGCTGCCTGTGATGATAACACAGGGATTTAAAAAAAATCCCAATATGTAGGTCCCACCCCAAAGTAATTAAATGAAGTTGGGATCCAGACATCAGTATTTTGAAAAGCTTCCTAGGTGATTTCCATATACAGGCAATGTTGAGAACTATTGTGTCAGAGGTTTCTCTTGGCTATCAGGTAATCTGTTCTGATTACAAGTTAAGGACTGAAAATCTCTTCGGACACTCTACAAACATAGTTAGGACTTTATTTACTATGAACCTCTCTGAAGTCTGGGCCATTTGTTGAGGAACAACCAAAGAGTTAGGATCTTTGGAATCTTTTCAGCTGGTATGATTTCCCAGAGAAGTCCCATCAATCTCCTGCAGAGGGGTAAGGGGCTGCTGGGAACTAGTTGCTAGGGATCTCAGTATTCAATGTGTATATGTTCATTTAATATTCTGCCTTCCACCTTTCAGGTAAATCCCATCCAGAGACACTCTGTTTTACTTCTTCAGAGAATAAAATAAAATTCTCATTATTTGTGTTTATGTGTGGGAGCAGTCCCAAAATGGCATGGAGTTGGGGAAGGCACCTTGGGATCTACCTGCTCCTTACACAGTCATTTCTCCCACTTTGATTCCCACTTCCGTGATTAACTGGTATAAATCCTTGAGCCCTTTGAGTATCATGTAATATAAATTCATGAACTCAGATTTTTACTTACTACCATTGTAAGATTTGGCCTTGGTCTGCTCAGTTACTATTCATCCAACCGTCTTCCAGCTTTCAAAATGTTGTTGCTGTTATTTGCTTTTCTGTTCTCCCTATTTTAGTGGGTAAATGTTGTTTTTTTTAACTAAAAAAAGAAAAAACACAAAAGCTTTCTGAAGTAGAGTACAGTCATTATCTCATTTCATGCCTAATAGTAATTTCTTAGTATCATCTATTACCCAGTCTATATTCAGATGTCCCCAGTTGTCCTAAAAATGTCTTCTGCAACCTATTTACAAAGTAGCATCTTATCTATGACTGGGCATTGCATCTGGTTGTTATGTCCCTCAAGTCTTTCATTCTAGAACAAGGCCTTTTTTTCATGACAATAACTTACTGAAGAGATAAGGTTAATTGTTCTATAGAATTTCAGCTGATACAGTTACATCATAGGTGATATGTATACTTCACATTGCAATAAGAGACACAGAATACTTGGTTATCCAGTCATTCATTGCTAATGCTGTCAAGCTTCTGTGTGAAGCTGGAGTGGACACATTGGATTAGAAAGATGACAGTATGACTCGAGTCCTCCACTGTAAAGTTACATTTCCTCCCTTTTCCCCAGTCTACTTTGTTACTTTGTATAATAAGTCTATTTTGTGTTACTTTGATCCTATAAGGTCTACTCCCCCTCCAACCTTTCGTCTAATGGTTTACAGATGAATTTGTGATTTCATTAGGAATTGCAAAATGATAATTTTCTAATTCTGTCATTCCATCCATATTGATTAACTTGAATTCTTATGTCAAATATAGCTTTTGTTTATCAGCTGGAGCTATTTACTGTAATAAAATGCTTGATTTTTTGCTTTTAATTACCACATTTGATTAGCTTATTAGCTACCTTAAGGGGGACAGATACCTAATTTTTCAGGTATTGTTATAAACTCATGGATTTTTGTAGGTTCACTAGGTCCCAATTAATTACAGTAATTACTCCTTTTTACAAAATTATTTGAGTATAGTTGACACACGATGTTATATTAGTTTCAGTATAGAACACAGTGATTCAACAACTCTATCCATTATCCTGTGCTCACCATATTCACTATACAATGTCACTACAATACCACTGACTGTATTACCTGTGCTGTGCCTTTTCTCCCTGGGACTTACTCATTCTATTACTGGAAGCCTTTATCTACCACTCCCTTTCCCATTTTGCCTATTCCTCACACCCCCCTCCTCTCTGGCAACCATCAGTTTCTTCTCTATTTATAGGTCTGTTTCTGCTTTTTGTTTGTTTTTTTATTCATTTATTTTGTTTTTTAGATTCCACATATATGTGAAATCATATGGTATTTGTCTTTCTTTGTCTGACTTATTTCACTTAGCATAATACCCTTTGGGTCCATCCATGTTGTCACAAATGGTGAGATCTCATCCCTTTTTGTGGCTGCATGATATTCGTGTGTGTGTGTGTGTGTGTGTGTGTGTATGTGTACACGTATCTTCTTTATCCATTCATCTGTTGATGAAGACTTGGGTTGCTTCCATATCTTGGCTGTTGTAAATAATGCTACAGTAAACATAGGGCTGCATATATCTTTTTGAATTAACATTTTCGTTTTCTTTGGGGTAAATACCCAGTAGTGGAATTATTAAATCATATGGTATTTCTATTTTTAATTTTTTAAGGAACCTCCATATTGTTTTTCACAGTAGCTGCACTAATTTACATTCCCAGCAACCATGCACAAGTGTTCTTTTTCCTCTACATCCTCACCAACACCTGTTATTTCTTGTCTTTTTTATCTTAGCCATTCCGACAGGTGTAAGGTGATACCTCATTGTGGTTTTGATTTGCATTTCCCTGATGAGGCATCCATATTGGTAAGGAAGAATTTAAACTGTCACTCTTTGCAGATGATGTGATACTATACATAGAAAGCCCTAAAGATGTCACCAGAAAACTATTAGAAGTAACAGATGAATTCAGTAAAGTTGGAGGATACAGAGCTAATACCCAGAAATTGGTTGCATTTCTATATACTAATAATGAAGTAGCAGAAAGAGAAATTAAGAAAACAATTCCATTTACAATTGTACCAAAAAGAATATAATACCCAGGAATAAACTTAACCAAGAAGGTAAAAGACCTGTACTCTGAAAGCTATAAAATACTGATGAAAGAGGGCGCCTGGGTGGCTCAGTTGGTTAAGCGACTGCCTTCGGCTCAGGTCATGATCCTGGAGTCCCTGGATCAAGTCCCGCATCGGGCTCC